GGCAGTGGATGCTTTTAGTGAATGCAGAGATGCTTGTACTTCCCAGTTATTTATGTACATACATACATACGTAGTTTTTCATGGCATCTTCAACTATTCCCGCAAACACTCCCAGAACCCTTTGATAGCGTCAAGAAAGTTAAGAGCATTGTGTACATTAACACGACCACAAATTAGTGGCGCATTGGGATTTGAACTATAAGTGTGTGTGTGTGTGGGTTGACTTCATAATTAGCCACACATCCACTGGAACACACACAACGTGCGGTTGCCATTATTATGAAAACTGAAAGCTGCCGCCAAAGTACGAGTACAAGTATAGTATAATAAGCTGCCAACATTTTACTTACATTTTCGTTTTAAGAGCAGCCATTTCCATTTCCCATTTTGTTTGCCAGGGTGCATAAATTTCCAGCTAATAATTTCAAGTTTTTAGTTGGGGTTTTGGATAGTTGTGGCACTAGAGTGGGGCTAGGTGCTTCGTAACTGTCTTAGGACATAGAGTCGACAATCGAAATTTGCAGAGCCTTTTCGGTTGTACATATCAGTTGAGAAAGTTTTCTAAAAAATCCATTCATCTATTTACAGAGCCCGTTCGTGTTCATTCTCGCTGGCAATTACAATGTATAAACGTTCCTTTATTTTCGTCAGCCGTTTCCCACGTTATGGTGCCAAGTTTGCCTTAATTGCGACCATGTTGCGTCAGTTGCATGCCGAACAGAAGGATATACCAATTGCTTTGAGGAAGGGCCTGATAAGCCACAAGAAGCGGCAGCAAAGACTGCAAATGGAGCAGGAACAGAAACAGAAGCTTAAACAATTGGAGCAACAAATGGAGGGAGAGCAACTGAAGCTAAAGACTACTATTGAGAAGGTTGTCGTAAAGCCACCAACTCAACCGGAGGCTCCAAGGCTACGACGCTTAAATTGTTGTCTCTCCGATGAGGTTCCGAATCCTGCCGACAACGAGGTCTGGCCCCTCGAACCAGAGATGCCCGTCAATTTGATGCCCATTATTGTAAAGACCTTAGCAGCTTTTGGCATTATCACAGCTTTATGGTTGTCCATTTGGGGCAAGAAATCCAAGGCTGACTGATTTCTTCGGTTCAAATATTTTAGCATTTCTTGCTCATGTGTACATACTACATACACTTTCCCCATTTAGTGGTGTGCGTGTGTGTTGTGGTGGAGGGATGGGGCGTTGTGTCGGGTAATATACATATATGTACATATATTGAAACTGAAAACTTGTTAAACATAAAACGACTGACAAACACATACATGTTCAGCTGTCAAATGCCAGCCACATAACGAGCATCTCTTTGTTTATTTGTCATGTAATAAAGAGCCTTTGAAAAGAAATGTTTGTCAGTTGATGTTCTCAATTTTAAATCAATAATAAGAAATCTGCAAATCTGGCAAATATGCGTGCACACATAGTACGAGGGTGGATTAAACAGTTTCCAAATATATGTTGACAAAAGAGCATTTTCTTAGCGATAGAATTGTTTTATTACCTGAGCAGTCGAAGAATATTCAAGTTCTTATTTTGCTGTGCTATATAATAGTTTTCCATTATTGGAAATGTTTAATGCATATAGACATCATGTTATATACAAACCTTGGAAAAAGTTAAGCACTTTAAACTAAAATTGATGGATCACAATAGCATTAATGAGAGATTCCTAAATATTTCCATAGTTTCAAAGCTTTAGCAATAAACTGCCAAAAGCATTAGTTATGTACTAAGTAGCATATGTTTATATGTTTCAATTTTAATTTATTATTTAGCTTTTAATATAAGGCTTTTTTTTTATTCCTTTTTACTCCACTTGGGAGCTTAGGGCTTCTACAAGTACTTTCCATCTAACTCTATTTCTGTCTAGCTGTGTCCCATGTGATGTTCTAATGGGATCATTCCTGAAGGGTCTTAGGTCTGGCGACCCGTCTGCTTTCTTGGGGGTTCCAGCACAGCGTCATCCTTACAATGCTGTGTGGGTCCTTCCGCAGTGCGTGGCCAATCCACTTCCAATTCTTCTTATTAGGCATTTACAAGTGAGGTAAAAAAATATCCTACTGCTAAGAGTGTAGGCGACTTTGCATTTTCTACTGAAATATACAAAATGGAGAAATATAAATTGTTTAATACAAGCAACTGTGTAAAGTGAGAAAATTTATACAATTACGATGTTTTTATATGTGTATATAGTTGAAATTTCTAGCAATCTTTCAGTATTAAACTCACCTGACGTTCATAGTTCTGATGCATAGAAAACGATTTTAGTCAAATTAAAATTTGGAATTTCTTTAAAGAATTATACGCAAAAGGTTCACTCCCACCTCGTTTATACGTATGCAGAAATTTGAGTTTCTAGAGCATGACCCGAGGTATTATTATTACGACGCACACACAAAGCCAGACAGGGTAAAAATAAAAAAAAACAAACGCACCATCTAAGTGGTCATTATTATGACACTTTTGGTCTCACACCCACACACGCACCCACACACACACACATACACGTGGGGACGAGCACACAAAGGCATTTTATTGGTTGTGATTGCTTTTGACATTTATTGATTTGCTTACGTACCCACATATGTGTACTATATCCAGCGGTATGTGCATACATATGTATGTACATATATATGATGGCATGCATATATGTTACTAGGCATGTGAGTGTGCATAATTGTATTTGTTTGTGCTGACAGCCGCTCTTGTGTGTGTGGGTGTGTGTGTGTAGCTCTGTCTGTCTCAATGTGATGGTTTTGTGTAAATATTTATAAATTGTTGATATGCAATTAAAAATTAAAGCAACAGCAATACAGACAACAAAACCTGTGACAGCTCGCATATACATATGCACACCAAAATATGCATGCATGTACATATGTACATACATATAAATATGTGTATATACATATGTATATATGTATGTGCGTGTGCGGCTTTAAGCTGCGCCAACATTACATTTGTCAAGTTTTATCGCAACTCTTTTTAAATTGCCGTCATCATTTCTGTGTTGCAGCAAATGTGAATTTGTCCTGCGATTGCCATTGATATAAGCATGCCTTTGCATTCAAACTTACATGTGTCTGTATGTGTGTGTGTGTGTGTGTGTGTGCGAGCACATAATGTGTGGCAAACAATAATTGCATATTTTAATTGCCAGTTATTATGTTAAGTAAAAATGTGTTAAGTGGCGTGCCTTTGCTGATTTACTCAACGCAATCAACGTAACCATCAACGGCAACTCAAGTTAATGCCGGTAGATACTACCTATACATACATACATATGTATGTACTTAGGAACGATAATGCCTCAGTTGTCAAAGCTACCGACCAAAACTTTACTGATTAAGCTGAAAAGTGCATGTTTGGAATGCAACTATCATTGCGTTCCATTACAACTGACATAAAATTCTGGCATAAGTCTGTCTTATTAGTGTTGTGACAACAGTTCGTCCAAACATTCTGAATCTGACTTGACAGTGGCAGGAAATAAAAGGAAAGTTACGTATTTTTGGTCGAACCATTCGAGATCACAACTGAGATGAAAGATCGAAGCGAATCGCTTTTTGTTGCGGGTACTGGAACGTACACAAATTTATCGTTCGGTAAGAGTTTATGTTTTAACCCTTCGCATATCTGCAACATACCGCTTAAACTCAATTATTTTGTAGTTCTACACATGGTATTTTAAGTGTGTTTAATTTGGTTACACTGAAATAAGCTAGTGAATTGAAATTATTATCACCTTTGGCGCCAATTTTGTGATTCGTGGGATGCAAGCAAATTAGCGGATTTATAAAATTTTTTTTTTTTAATATATAAAGTACAACTAGTAAAAAAATATACAAAATTTCAAAAAACAAAAAAACACCTATATTATTATTTTGCCTTTACTTCCCTAATGGGAAAAACCCGCATTGAAGTCAGACAAAATGTCATACGAAGGGTTAATTATAATTTCGTAATCGTGATTAGATTTCGTTCCACATTGATTTTTATAGTTGTTTACGAAATAATAATAACAAAAGTTACTGTTATTGCTGTTCTGAAAACTATATCAATCAATCAAATCACAAATTAGTTTAGTATAGTATTAATATATATTTCTTCTTTCATCATATTTAAGATGTTGCAATTTTGTGCATTTAAAATTAAAAATAATAATAATAAATAAATAAATGCATAGTGTTGAAAAATGAAATCCCAAACTGTACTGTTAACGTCGTCTGTTTATAAAAAAGTGTGATATTAGTTTTGGTTACGTCTCTGCATTCGCCTAATTTGGGCCTTCGATTCCAGATTAATTTCCTGATCTCAATCAAAATTTGTAGCTAGTTTTAAAAATGTATCGTCATTTTTATTATATGTGACGTAATAATATTGAAAATGTTAGAATTTGACTGTTGGGGCTTCGAGTTAATCGATCCAGCTTTTACGAGTATTGCTGATCAATTGGTAGTCTATGATGCTTTCAACTTTGTGTGAAATTGGAGCATAATCGAGAGGGTCAGACATTATTGCATCTGTATTATAAATACATTGATATCTGCCTTCCTACCTTATCTCCAGTAACTGTTCCTCTGCTTCAATGTTGTTCAATATCTCAACGAATTTTGATTCATTATACGTTTTATTTGTCATTTGTTCGCTATTTAATTTTAGTTGCCTCTTCCCGAATTGTTGTGAATAAATCTCCCACAAATGGTTCGAGTCCTTTTGCCGATTGTGAAAATAAATACAAAATATATGTTGTCCAAGTCAAGCCGACGGAAGTAGGGCTTTGTGTCTTAACATTTAAATACATACCACAAATGTGCATTAACAGCCAATTTTCAAAATTGTTTTTATTCTGATGTTATAACTACGAACGCCTCAGGCCGATATTTGTTAGTTAATGGACTCCCCTCAGTAACAAATCATTTGAATAATATTTATTGAACCGTGTAGATTAGTATACGAGTACAAAAAATAAAAAAGGAAAAACTCAACCGTAATAAGTTGTGCGAAGCAGTGCAAAAAACTGATACGACATGCTGATGACCTTCATAAACGTTTGGAACGATATTGGTGGAAATGTGGGTGGTCGGATAGAGGCCGGCTTTTGACTTCGCATAATGATGTACTGTAGGATACGTTTGTAATCGGTGCTGCAGGACAGCCAATTGTGATTGAAGGCGGCATGGCCAATGCGAGAGCTCTGCAGAAGACAAATTTCTTAAGATTAGACAAGGTTCTATTGTCATGGGATACTGAGAATACCGAAGATATCATCTCATCGCCATAGTAGCAGACCACAAATACTTGCACCAACGAGGCTGAGAAGAAAATGAAATACAGCACAATGTCCTCCACATTTGAGGCGGTGATTTGAAAGCCGGCAAAGCAAATGACAAAAGAGGCGGCAATAAAGTTCCAGAGTATGGTAAAGCTAAAGATGTTGTTGACCTCCTCGCTAAGACTGCAAGAAGAGGTATCAAGCTCAATGAGAGAAGCGATATGAGATAATTGGCAACTTACTCCAAGGCGCGAGAATGATAAACGACCAGATCCTGCAAGAACTTCACATTTTCCTCATCACTGTGGTCATCGCCATTGTAGGCCTCGAGCGTGTCGGCTATATAATTGAAGTGCATAGTCAGTTGGGTGATGGTGGTAATCAGCAGGAGGTCCACGCAGACATAGGAAACGCCAGCGACATAGGCACAATGCGCCAGGCCCCAGTATGAGAACCAATAGACGGTCAAATCTGTCTCCGCATCATAGGGAAAGTAAATGTGAAAGCCGTAGTTGCGCTCAAATATCTCAGAGCCCATAAAATAATATTTAATGGTTGATTTGATGGCCGGATAGAAACTAAACGACGACGTATAGGTCATGCAAAGAATGGTGAACAAGGTCATCACACTATTCATGTGTCGTTCATAGAAGGTCACATGGTAGGAGCGTTGTTTTTCCAGCGTCAGGGGGAACATCTCCGACAAATCATCCAACAACTTCACCAGCGTCTTCCGATTAACGGTCATGCCGATTTGCTTGAAATCGGCCATAAAACTGAAGCCAATGCAGGGCGCCACAGCCGTAGCCTCCAACAGTGTCGTCGTCGATGTAATGTGCACTATAAAATAGGCGATCTCTCCCACCACATACGCATTGAAGTTGAGAAAGCCCCAAATCAGATAGATGCGGAAGAGATAGCGACGCAATCGGTTCTTGTCCCGTTCTGCATACAAATCCTCCCCAATGGTCTTGTAGAAGACCAGGGGGAAGCGCGTCAGGTCCTTAAAAGTGCGCAGCTCGCGTTTTTCCTTCTTCCGACCGAACATGGCAACGTTTTCTCTCTGTGCTGACCAGTGTATGCACTCGTGCTTATATAGACATCGGCTCTACGGATATATTGCGGATAAGTGCATAAAATTCTTATTAGGGAAGTAAGCCAGTTGCTGTTCCTTCGCTGCTCACTTTTCGCCCGCCTAGCTATGCAAGCTATGACTAAATCAATTAAATAATTATAGACACGTGTTACCTAATACAGAATTTAAATTTTGATGTTTCTCACCTTAAAGTAGTTCGCTGAAAGGTATGGATTCCATTGGCCCACGGTATTCCAAAGCCATACAAAGCTTTAAGGTGAGCATTGAATTTTATTAACAAAGCTATTGGTCTGACAAAAATATTCCCTTCCGGGTCACATCGTCCTTGTTGCCCGTTTATTACAACTTATTTGAAGATATGCCAGATTCAAGGTTTACTTGTGTCTTTTAGGAACTCAAGCTGAGGATGAAAAGTTTTATGAAATTGCATATTTTTTCTACATCAAATGCCAGGAGATTCTTTACGAATCTAGTCTTGTTGTTAGGCTACCTTGTATGAAAATAATTAGGATCGGTTTGGCAACAAATTCCTGTTGTTCTTCGTGGCTTAAGCGGGAAACCCCTTCATCGTTTGCCACCTAACTGAAGCATTCTTCTGCTTTTTAATCGTTTTGTTTAAGGGTACCTGTATTACATTTATATTTTCATAGTTTCTTCTGAAACCTTTGGAGCCTGTGGAACCTTTGCTTTTAGAAGAGTTGCTTACTACAATATGTACTCTTTATTGTTTGTTTATTTGTTTATTAATTCCTAGTACTACAAGAATAGTTCTTATAAATTAATGTAGTACTAGTCACAAAAAAAAGACAATCTACACTTTCTGTTTTTCTACCGTGGATTTGCATATCAAATTCTTTGATGAGGGTAAATATAACTTAAATGAGTCCTTTAGTGATCTGATTAGCCATTTTCGTGGATGAATTATAATTGGTTGAACTTCATATTCAAGTTCATGCTTCAGGTAGAGTTGATCCTCCCTATAATTCCCACCATTACACTTCTCTGCTCAGCTTTTAAAACAGCACATAACGTTGCGGCAAACAGAAATATTGTGCAGGTTAGAAAATTGGGTAATAACAATCACCTAATCATATACAAATGTGTATTCTAGATACAAGTAGTTTCATAAATTTGTACGGTAAATGGAAAATAAATGAAAATACAAGTTGTGGCATCCATCTTTAAGAGATTACGACAGCTACTTGTATGTGGGGAGGCTTAAAAAAGGGATGCTTGCAGTTGGAATTAATGTTGCTTTTGATGAGTTTATAAATGTAATGGTTATAAAAGATTTATCCAATAGTTTACCCAAACTCTCTCCCTCTCTAGTACCTGTGAAAGACTAACAGTTGATACAAGACTTGGGGAATTTCCCCTACCACCAGCCACACCATAGCATCTACTCTGTCACTGTCGACTGCTATGTTACAGGGGAACCCTCAGGAACCTTTGAGAGTGAGGGTGAAGTTTTGCGAGCGCAGGCTCATAATTCGAACGATAAACGCTATTACCATTTTGACACGAAATTCTGAAATATACTGAGACGCAGAACTTAAGTTAAATATTGTCACGCAAGCCAATGTAATCTCTCAATGTTGATGTTGGCATTGTTTGTGTCAGGATTCTAATAAAACCGCAGTCATGTCAAACGCTTCTCCAAGCATAGTTCAGAGTTGTCCATCATTTGATCTACTCGCCAATAACCATTACTCAAGAGGGGGCGTGGGGCGGTGCAGGCGCCCACAGAAACCGCGCACTGACATATATACTCGTATTCTCTTATGTACCTAAGTACATATGCAGCTACATATGTACACGTATGTATATATACAAGTAGGTAACAAAACCTCAGACTGTGCAGACAGATAGCAGGAAGGAGAAAGTCACATCGAAGAAGGGAAACATCCTAGGTAGAAACCGATATCGGGACAAGCGCCCTGAGTTATGCATTCTGAGCTTCAAGTGCTAATTGAAAGTGCTTTGCACAGCCTTAGTCACGTCATTTCATCATTCCATATATAGTTTTGAACAGGTTGAAGTGACAGAAGCCTGATTACAAATCGTTCACGTTGTACATTGTAGTAACATACACAAGAAATTAATTCAATTAAATATCGTAAGATTTTCATTAGCAACAACTCAAAATTGCTTTTCTTTGAGGATTGTTGATGGGAGTGGGAATGGGAATGCGATTGTGAATGGCAAGAGTGAAATCTAACTTTTGGCAGCCGCAGCTTATGACATTTTCAGCTACTTACATCAAAGAATAATTTGGAAATCACGTGCTAGTGGGTGCTCGAGAGCATTAAGTGTACCTTGTCGGGGTAACTATGGTAATCCAGGTCGGGTGGAGTGGGGATGTGGGCGCTGAAGTTGACGCGCCCCAAAAGTTTAGTTTAGCCGCGACAATGACAGCTTAAATACTATAAGTAGATACGAGTACCAGACGCACTGACACTGGTTCAACAAACAGACAGGATGATTGCCTTCGGCCTTATACATACATATGTACATACATACTTACACATGCATGCATATACTATATAGTATATGTACAAACAAACATATGTGCTTACACGTCGGTTTAGGAACTCGCAGTAAGAACTTGGGCAAATGCCTTTCTATTGCATTTCTATTTTGTTAATAGACATGTAGTGCAGACAGAAAATACTCGCACATAAAGAGAAACAGAAATGAGAAAAAATTGAAAGTATTTGCTGATTTTGAATAGCGCGCACTGGCCAGGAATTTGGTCTCTTCAGGCTTTTTTGGCATCAATTAGTTGATTGGATAGCTGTTTCAACCTGAAGTACGCTTTTTGCCTGTGTTTTTCTGCTCGTGGTAATGGTTATACTCGTACATACTATACATACATACTTGTATATATATACATACATGCACACCTGTACTCAACTGATTGCACATTGCAGAGTCTCGGGGTATACGATAGGGTCAAAAGAAATTGTTGAATCATACTTGTATAAAGAAACTTTTCAACTTCAGTATTCGAGCACATCCTTCGCTGACGTTCCACAATTCATTAATTATGAGCACGAAAATTGTCGGGCTGTTGGCAAAGCATTCTCCAGAATACCTGTTGCTCAGCTGATAGTAGGCATCCTTTTGGCTGTTTAAAAGGACAAGGATAAAATTTGGCCCCCTTTTTTTTGTATAAAAGTAACAAATCAACAAGCAAGCTATATACTTAGATATGTATGCTTTGTTTTTGCAAGCTAAGAGATTATTTGTAAGATTTGTTAACATTAACACAGCATATACCTATGGTCGCTGAGCTCAGATTTGTATACTTATTGGAATAAAATTGCAATGACTCAGTGATTGTAAGCTTTTCTCCTACATTATATTGGATACAGTCTTGCACTTAAAGTAGAGCAGCAGCTTATGTGCATGCGCCAAAGGTATGTTTTTCAAAGGGTATATTTTTCTTTTCTGTTTTTATGATAATTGGTCTATTGAAACTGAAATTTTGGAATTTAAATTTAATTTAATTTTGAACTCATCTTAATTGATTGATTAAGGAAAACTATAAAATGCAGACAATCTTCAAACGTTATACCCATGATTGCTTATAAGATCAATAAATACTAAGGTCTTCTAAATGGTAAGGGTGCCCTCGATATCTGTTTGAGATTTGATTGTTTTTCCATCGGCTCAATGGCTTTTTAGTCTTGCTTGATTTTGCTGAGCAGCATAGCACTATATCTATGGCATTTACTTAAATTACTTTTGAAATTTGTATATAAATACGGTGAGTGGGATTTTTGCAATCCCACAAATGTATTAAATCTATTCGTTTGTGTTGTTTTTTTTTTTATTGTTTTAAGTAATTTCTGCAAAAAGTGTGGATTCAACTTGGATTCAACGTTTTTCTTGGATGTTCATAAATAATATTATTTATTTATATGATTTCAATGCAACGTAAGGTCTCCCATTTAGCAAGAAAGCAAATTACTTGGGAGTTGTCCCATACAGGAAGCTGTACTGACAAGTTGAGAGTTATGAAAGCCAAAAATGCTCTCTACTTCTTTAACGAAGCCGTTAGCACCAGATGAGGGTTCAGCTAGTGTGGGGTAATGGTTCTATATGGCCATCATTCGATCCATTGGTGTGGTAGTCAGCGCTGAAAAAACCAATCGCTCTCACGCTACGATCGGCGGAACTAAGCATCAGCGTGGCGCTGCCCCTCGATATCTTAGGGAGAGAGTTAGTCACTATCAGAGCCTTCAGGAAAAAGGACACATGAAAGGATATAGCTACAAAGCATGCAAGAATACTCCATCACCATCTCCAGGAATCCCATACCTTTGAAAATGTCTAAACAGACGTTAATTGAGATGTTTTAGTGGCGTCAGTAAAAAAACCTTCGTACTCACTAAAATACTGTTTTTAAATGTTTTTTATGTCTTACTTCCTCACTTAAAGCAAATAAGTGTGATGTTCTAATTAGAGCAGGAATATGTGTGTTCAATCAACAAACTCTTAGTGCTAGTCATGAATTATTTCCTTAATAGTCGGCCTTCTAGTGCATCGTGTCCTATAAAATAAAATTTGTACAACGTTGCGTATGATTGATGTGACAGCACTGATTTTAGTTTTAATTTTCTCACTGGTTTCGTTTGCGTGAAGTCGGAAAGCTGTTGGTTAAGGAACAGTCAATGGCTAAGATGGTGCGTCAAGAGTTTTGAGTGACTTGACTTTCAACTCAAGCGCGCAACAGGTCCTGCTGGCTTGTAATGTAATGTTTCTTGGAAACAAACAACTTTTTTTCGCTGCGCTCGCGAAAGCAGTTCGAGCTTATTTTGCGAACAAAAAGCAATTTAATGCAACATGGCAGACAGGCTGGCAGTCGGGCCGGGCCGGCAAATTCTTGGATTTTGAAGTTTTTTGATCAGCGTGGGGTCAACGTGAAACTATTTTGCATTGATGTTTTG